CAAACTTCTGTTTCAAGTCTAACATTAAAATGAAAGGAAAAAAATCTGTCAAATACCCTATTTCATCAGATCTATGGTGGTATCAATTCTAAAACCTATTTTGTACATCATTTAGAAAAAACGCTATCCACTATGACATGTCATCAATTGAAATATAGATTCTAATCACAGAAACACAAAAAAGTATGTAATGTATTTAGAATTGATGCAACTGGGGCTTGGGGTGTAGCTCTGAGGTAAAGTGCTTGCTTAGCACACATGAGAATCTGCGATCTTCAACCCTCAGCACTCAGCACCAAAAAAAAAAAAAAAAAAATAAAAAGTAGAATTGATGAAACACAATACTCTATTAATTATAGACAAATTACAGTTGGATAAAATACTTATGCAATTAAGAATTTAAGCTGATCAAACCAGATTCTGATATGGTAGTCCCTGAAAATCTAAAACCATAGTCCTAGTAAAAGACTGCATTTCAAATTCAGTATGTTGTAACACCATAATACTGGACTCCTTCAGTACATAAAAGTTTTAGTATGTATTTATTTAAGAACATAGCCCCTCTTCAAACAATTCTACTAGACAAAATTATAAAATAATGCAACTTATTTCTACCAAACATATCAGAAGCAATATAATCACACAATATTTAAGAAGACAATATAGCCTTTTATGATAATTAACAGTCAACACTTTATGTAGTCAGTTAAATTTTTCAAATTGATAAATTAACTCACTTTTTTAAAAGAATATTTAAATTAAAGGAATAAAACACTTTTGGCCAGGGATGGTGGCACATGCTTGTATGTAATCCCCGCACTTGGGAGACTGAGAGGAGGGTCGCTGAGAGTTCAAGACCACCATGGGATACACAGTGACACCTTGTCTCAAAAAAACCCAAAAAAATTAAAAGGGGGGGGAGGGAAGCAAGTCACTCCTAGAGCTGAAATGGAGTTGAGACACCTATCACTTTTTCTTTACAGACAGGGCCAAGTAAGTCTATAGGAAAGATATGAGAGACATTTCATTTTAAAATTTGAAATTATATGGCCTCAGAGTGAGGATTTTTTAAAACCTCAGAAATGAGGGTTGAATAAAAGAAGACATCAGAGAAAAATGTTCTGCACTACTTAGATACTGCAACCTGACATCACTTTTCTCTGTAAATGTTCTTTAGTAATTTGACTTCAGGGTGGCTGAAGAAATCTTTCATAATATATTGGAAAATAAATACAATTTCTAGAAATACATTAAAACTCACAGATGCAGAGTGATTCCCATATCTCTCAGTTCCTTCACAGACAGCAGAGGAGAGATTATATCTTGACCAAATCTGTCATAAATGAGAACCTTAAAAAATGTATTTTAAAAACATCATTATCACTGAAAAACTAATAATGCTGAAGCAAATTTTATTTTAAATAAATCACTTATGCAGAATTCTTTTCCTTGCCTCAATTTAATATTTTCCACCATTATTCATCAAAATGTCTATGTATGAAGTAGCATTAGTAGTTAGACTAAAATAAATCAATAATTATATAAATTTCTTACAAAATGTTTTTTCTAAATTAAAAAATCCAAAGACTATAAAACCTTTATCTTAAGCTTTAATAAAGGATTTTGAACATATAGCAAATTCACACATTTTCTACTTGTTTTTCTTCCAGTTCACATATATCCTTTCTAAAAACAGGGGTATAAAAGTTAGCAACCTTCAAACAATACATAACAAGGGCCACTGCCATAAACAAAATTTAGTAATTTAAATATCACAGGTAAATTAGATATCTATTTGAAAAATTAAGTCCCTAGTCTATCAAATGCACTTTCTCACATTCTAAAAATATTAAAACTGACACCTTTGAGAAATGATAAGAACTCCAATTGGGCCTTCTAATTCAAAATTAGTTTTAGAGTTAGGGCAAATAAAAGAGATTTTCAACTGGTAAGCATTTTCACAACTACCTCAATAATTCCTTATGGAGAAAAAACTGCAAATGAGGATAAAATATGCTGTTATAAAACATGTTCTTCTTAAGTGCCAGGATTTCCCTTGGAGAAGCTAAAAATCTTTCTGCTGTAGCTATAAGAGGTTAGATGTTTCTCGCAAAAATCTTGCTTTAAATCTCACTATATGGGAGTCCCCTCTTACCTGCAGGTTCACTTTTTGTAGTTTTAGCTACCTGCAGTCAGTCACAATCAGAAAATATTAAATGGAAAATTCCACAAAAATTCATAGTTTTTAAATTGTGCACCCTTCTGAATAGCATGATGAAATCTCACATGTCCTACTCTTCTGTCCTGTCAAAAATCTTTTGAGGTCCTGTTTTATACCACCCAGGACATGAATCCTCCTTGGTTCAGTGTATCCATGGGGTATACACTGCCCACTTAGTTACTTAAAAGCTGTCTTGATTATCAGATCTACTGTCAAGAGTATCACAGTGTTTGTTTTCAAGCATCCCTTATTTTATTTAGTAATGGCTCCAAAGTGCAACAGCATTGACATTGCCAAGGTCATTACAGTACACTGATTTAATTGTTCTGTTTATTATTGTTGTTCACCTCTTTCCATGCTTAATTTATAAATTAAACTTTATCACAGATATGTATGTATAGGAAAAAACAATAGTATATACAGTCATCCTTGGTGTCCTTGGGAATTGGTTCCAGGATCCTTCACAGATACAAAAGTCCTTGGATGCTCAAGTCTCATATTAAATGGTATAGTATTTGCATATAATCCATGTAACTCTCCTGTGTAGTTTTAATGCTAAACAGTTGAAATAATGAAAAGTTTTGTGCATGTTCACTATACATTCAATTTTAAAAAGTCTTCTGATTGGTGATTGTTTGAATCCAGCATGTGGAATCCACACATAAAGAGGGATGATGGTACAGAGTTTGGTACTCTCTGCAGTTTCAGGCATTCTTAAAATGTATCTTAGGGGCCGGGGATTTAGCT